GATAGATAGATAGATAGATAGATAGATAGATAGATAGATAGATAGATGCTATAAGAACTTAATTTAAATTTAGTTCCTACCTCTTCAATTCTCCTACAAGTTCTACCTTGGATGCTGGGCCTCCTCCACAGACAAGAATTCCTGGTACCTTCTTCCCCATTCCTCCCTGTCTTCTCTTCAGAGCCACACACAACAGAGAGGTGTGGCCAGCAAGTAAAGGCCTGCACACTCTGCCTCTCCTCTTTCACCCCCCCTCCGTGTGTCACAGTCCACTGAGAGGACATCATCAAACAAGACCCTGCCTCCCGCTGAGTTCCACAGACCCAGCCTGTCCCTGTTCTTGGCAGGTGTCCCTCCCCTCAAGCACCTCTCTCCTCCCTCTCACCACAGTGTCCTCTCTCCTCCCGTCCCAGTCTCAAAGTGGGTTTTAACAGTGATTCCCTTATTCTAGCTCATTCCCAATGGTACCCAGACCTTCTCTCACCTCCCCATCTTTACCTAAAACTCCCCCTCAGCATCCCTTGAATTACTGTTCTCTGTGCTTTCATTCCTTTGAAAACCTGTTGAATTTGTACAAATTGTCTCCAAACCTGCCTGCCCTTCATTCTTCATTCCATCACTCCAGCCTTACCCTGATCCTTCACAATGACACTAAAATGGCTTTCATCATGGTCTGCAGCCACTGGTGTGTATGCGTGCGTGCATGTGTATGTGTGTGTGTGTGTGTGTGTGTGTGTGTGTGTGTGTGTGTGTATCTAGCAGACATAGTCTGCAGCCTCTGACATTGGGGGTTCCAATCTGTGGGCCTCCTTCTTGAAGCACCCTTTGTTCTTGGCTCTAAAATGTCCCTCCCTTCTGGCTCATGGTCAATCATCTGACTGAACAGAGTCCTTTCTGTGACCTCATGCTAGCAATAAAAACCTCTTCTCTTTTTCACTTCTCACTTCCACCACTCTGGCTTAGCAGTAGGCAGCACTCCCTAACATACCAGTGTCCAGGAGGGGACATTCGTTATCTCAGGTATTCAGCCACATCAACTGGACATCCCCTCCGGTGCCACCCACAGCATCTCTATGTTCCTCACATCCAAAGGTTCCCTACCATTCCCTAGCTACCCTTACCCTTACCCCTACCCCTGACCCTGTAAACAGCCAGGTATCTGGAAGAAGGCTTTGATTCCTTCCTGCCCACATCAGTCTGTCTTAATTATCAAAACCCTCTTCCAGGTCACTCTTGCAAAATGACAATCTTCCTGGAGGCCTGTACTCCAGGGCTTCCTCTTCCACTGATTCTGCACAGCATCAGGAGGGATGGCATTCTGAGATGCAAGCTTCAATGGCAGGATGTCTCTCTCATTTCTTTGCCTAAAAATGGTAACAACCCCATTCAACTTCTAGTAACATACAGTCTGGTTTGTTACCCTCTGGCAACTTTACCTCAAACTCCTGTCCTTCCTTGATGGGTTTCTGTTACCTAGCTTCACTGCAATCACTGTAATTCGCTGAAATCTGTCTTACTTTCAGGGCCCTGAACAAGCTATTCCATCATCCTAGAATGATATTCTCCTGTGCATCATATGATTAGCTCATTTTAATGCTTCAACATAACTCCCGAGTGAGACACTCCTAGCCCTAACTCGATAGATCCTCCCTTTCATTTCCTCTCTGGACCGCCTTATATTTTTCTGTAACACTTTGTATTTTATTATCACTTCTTTATTTCTCCATCTTTGTCATCCAATCCTAAACTCCCCAAGTCTGGGAATTTTGTTTCATTAACAGATGAATCCAGAACTCAGCACGGTTCATGACACATATCATTATACCGAGTGTGTTCAACGAGTAAATGATGAGTCTTAGAAGACTCACAACTTCCCTGCACCACAGCTGCTCTGGTCAAGGCTTCAGTAACTTCACATGGCCAGGCCACCTGTCTTTTTCACCGTCTGCAGAGAACAGACTCTTCCAGTTCAGCTCGCCCTCTGTGACCCTCCTCAGTGTTACCAACAGGTCTGGCACACCTCAGCATGTCCAGCTCCCAGAACAACAGGTGCCTGATGAACATACTGACTAGATGAGCTCCCAGCTCTGGAAGAAACAGGATACGAACAGGAAGGCACTTGTTGCAAAGATGGAGGTGGCTAATCTATGGCAAATATGCAAAAATAAAACAATATTTTAAATGGCTTCAAATTTCAGAAGCCTTTATTATCTCCATTTTACACTCTTTAAAAAGAGAGGGAAAGTTTTCTTACAATATTTTTCACATATATTTAAAAAGGGATAAATAAACCTTATAAGTTAAATGCTGTGATAAGACTGACCACAAGGAAAAGTGTTTAACTAATAAACCAAATTCTTTGTCAGACGATAGTGAATAAAAGCATTCCCTATATCTTCAAAATAAACCAACCACAAAAACCTTAAAATAACACATGTAAGCCAAACCACAAAGATGCTAAGACCCTAACCTTGACTTTCTCGACCCAAATCCTGCCTCCTATCAACTCAGATACAAACAAGAGTACATCTACCCCATGCCAGGTATAGCAAGCAGCATACATCTGTAATCACAGCACTCAGGGGGCAGAGACTGGGAGATTGCTGTAAATTCAAGGGCAGCCTGGTCTACATAGGTGAACTCAAGGCTAGTCAAGGCTATACAGTGACACTCTGTTTCAAAGAACAACAAAGAATAAAAAAAAGAGATGGAAGAGGCAGGGAAGAGAGAGGGGAAAATAAAAAAGAGAAAAGAATGTATCTACCCCAGTTTGATCCAAAGCAAGGATTCTATTCTGAAGGACATTTAATCTGCGGGTATTACTGGGACATAAAGAACTCCATGACCTTGACCCTTTAACCACGTCCAGTGATCTGGCATCCCAGGAGTGCAGTTCACTTGCTTTGTTGGAATCCGTCTGAGGATCTTGCTAGCTTGAACGTGAAGCTCTTCAAGCCTCCCAGTTCTGTATCTCATCTGGCTGGTGCCAAGAGGATTAGCCTAGCTCCACCCTACGGGGGGGCGGGGGAGGATTAGTCTTCCTGATCGGGAAATACGATGTGAAGCTGGAAAACGTGAAAGCATGAACTGGGTGGGCCCACCAGCAGGCCCGGGTGAAATCAATTATAAGGGTGTCTCAGAACAAAGTCTGGTTCAAAGCAGTCGAGGACAGGGTGTGTCAAAGCGGGCTCTGAGCCCCTGTGGCTTCAGCTGTTTGTTCAGCATTTTATATGTTTATCTTCCTGCTCGACAGAGCTATTGAGTCATCTCTATTAAACGGCTATTGAGGGAAAGGAACAGCTCTGCAAATCCACCATAGAGAAGAGACAGGCCGTTCATCCTCTATGACCCTACATTCTACAGTCAAAACAAATGCTCTCCCTCCCTTCTCGCTGTGTGAACAAGATACTCAGTTTCATTTAACAGATCAAGGGCCATGAGCAATACAAGTAAAGAAAGACCCTGTGGTGGTTGCTATGTTTTTAATACTGTCTAATATAGTTGCAAACTAAAAATGAAGTGTCAATTTACCTAAAAGTGCTGTCAAGCCTCACTGTTAGTGAATGAAATGTTGTTATCAGGGTTCAGACTAATTACATTAACCAAATAATTACAGTAAACTTCTAAATTTTGGAGGGAGGAGGGAAAAACAATTCTGTAAAGTGGGTGAGCTCACAGAACACTCTTTGGGCTTCCGCAGAAATTGTCCGAGCCATGACACACGTTATCAACCAAGGCATGGCGATGTACTGGGGCACCTCGAGGTGGAGCGCAATGGAGATCATGGTGAGTTGACTTCCGGTGTTTACCGGCTGCTGAGCACCTTATTGTTATTCTCTAAATGCCATGTTTGAGTGGCAACCTCTTCTGCAGACTTTTCTCACAAGACCATGGCACTGGAATTCCAGGATCAGCTCTATCGTTAAGGAAATGGGTCTCAGGGCTGGAGCCCTGCAGTTTGGAACAAACACAGGGGGCCAGGTCTCTGGTAGGAATCACGCTTTAGCATGTCCTTTGCTGGCAAAAGGGCAGAGAGAATTTCAGAGCTAATGAGGTATGTGAAGAGTATTCTACCTTTCTGACAATAAGCTTATTAGAAGCTATTCTGTGGCTTGGTATACCATGCCACTTACAGATCACTTTTATCTGAGTTTTTATTTAAGAACCTAACCATGCTCAAACATCTTCTTTATAATAGTACATAATTCAAACCCTGACTGATTTCTCCAGACTTTACTTACTCTAATGCTCCCAAAGAATAAGAATTTCTCACATTTGGCACCTCTCTTGGTGATATTTACGGCCATAATTTTGTTTTTCTTTGGCTTATTTCCTTGTGTCATACTTAATCCACTGAAATGCAGATTCCCCAATGGAAATGAATCGCAGTGAAGCTCCAATGCCTATCAGTATAAACTCAGCTGCAACCTCTTCTGCCCTAGGAAGCCTACTCCGTGGCACGGCAGTTCAACATGATCCCACCTGTCTGCGAACAAGCTGAGTACCATCTTTTCCAGAGAGAGAAGGTGGAGGTCCAGCTGCCAGAGCTCTACCATAAAATAGGTAATCTTCAGGATCACATCTGATCATTCTTCACAATTTGAGGATCAATGATGGGGGGAATAGGAAAATGCTTTCCCAGATGTCCCTAACTAATACAGAGGTTACAAGAACTATGCATCTCAGGGACTGTGGCTGAATCAAGTGGGTCCATATTCAGTCTACAAGCTACTGTGATGACAATCATAGAGCTGTATATTAACTGTAATGCACTCAGCAGCCGTTCAAAAAAAAAAAAAGAAAGAAAGAAAAAACTGCTCACACAAAGAGGATCTGGTGGATAAAGTGATCTGCACAGACACAGCCAGGATCCAGAGGACGAACTTGGTTTGTATAGGTGCTTGCTCTAACCTAAACATGCATCTGTGAGTAGACTGAGTAGCCTTTTACAAACATATAGATACCTCATCTGTCTCTCATGCTGTCCCCAGGACTGGGTAAGACAGGAGCAATCCAAAAACAGCAACAAGGCACGTACAATTTGTTTGTGTGTGTGGAAGTAGTGCCTGGGGGTGGGGGGAGAGATGCAGACAAGATAAACACAAGAATGTTGGATATTACAAACACCAACAAGCCACATTTTCAGGCGTATATGCCAAAGCAAGGTCCAGATATTACTTTTTGCTTAAAAAGTAATAGGGAAATGCTGGATTAAAAGCAATCCAAATTCAACAATAGCCAATGCTGTTCTGATCCTGTGCCAGGCATTTGCTGGGTAGCAGGCTGTGCCCCTGCCTTGCGCCAGGTGCTGTCAGGCACTGGGTGGATAAGTGAAGCACTGGCTCTCTTTGCAGGCAGAAGCTCTTATCTCTTGGTCTATGAATTGTGGCCATGAAAAGACCATGAATAAGCCATATTTTCAGGTTTGCTTATATGGCTCACTCCCAGGAACAGACAGTACACGTTTAATTGGTTTATAAAGTAATGAGGCACAATTTGTAAGTCCCGAGTTGTAATGGAAACATGGATGGAGGCATTAACTCATTTATCTGGCCAGCTTTCCCCTAGAACTGACAGAGCTCTCTAAACACACCCAGACTTTTGGTCCCTCTTGACACAAGCAATTTCCTGATGGTTTGTTTCTGCTGTTGTTTTCCCCCAATAGGGGTCGGTGCAATGACGTGGTCTCCGCTTGCCTGTGGAATTATTTCAGGAAAATATGGAAATGGGGTGCCAGAAAGTTCTAGAGCTTCACTGAAGGTATTTTCCTCCACTTCTAGAAGTTCCTGAGGGAGGGAAGGCTATGGATTAGAAGGAGCAGAGCAGCAACCCAGAGCTACCCATCTCAAACACACTGAGGCCTTGCCCAGCCATGACCTCTGGCAGGGCCCTCTCAGCCCTGCCCTGGTCTCTGCTGCTGGCGAGGCATCAGTCAGCCCTTCAGAATCTGCCTGCACAAAGAACTGAAAGGAAAGTGTCCAATGACCTGGTTGACTTGTGGACTAAAATCCCTACATTCTTACATTCTTTCTTATTCTTCTGTTAAAGGAAGCATTTCATTCCTTGTCTAGAAATAACAAAATTTTAAATCCCTTTTCTGTATAAGAGGATTTAGTTTTCCTCTTCTTTAGAAAACAAAACTTAAGACATAAGGACTTAATCCATTTGAGGTAAACAGCTAGACCTGGATATAGCTTGGGGTTGGCTTACATTTCCTACTGCATTTGAGGACAGTGTAAAGCAAGAAGGCCTGGGGAGACAGATGCTGAATACATCATCACCAGCCCCCACTCTGTCCAGTGGATCTTCTGTTTGTTTGTGCGTGTGTTTGAATCAATATGTCTTACACAAAGTAATGGTTTTCTTAATGGCATTTCTGCTCAATCGTATCATATATCTCAACTAGCTTCTCCTCATTGCCTAGTCCCACCGTAGGCCCCTTCCTGATGGTTAACTTACTGGGAAGCACAACAAACATCTTTCCTATTAACAACAAGATGACTATGTTTTAAAAGCTTGAGAGAATGTGTAACAACATTGGAATCACAAATTACTCTGTAACGTCAAGAGAGAAATAATACAGGAATCTTAAAAAATTCAGACAAGCCAAAGTCACCTTAAGAGGAGGCATATGCCCGACCCAGCCTCCATTAGCACTGAACCAGCAGAAGAGCCCAAGCCAAGCCCAGATCTTTACCAGTGTAGCTGAGATTCTAGGCGATGGGAGGGAGAGGGGGAGGCAAGGACACAACACAGACATGTTGAACCACCAACATTTCCCTAGCTAGAACCTTCTCAAAACTCTAGGTTTTTACTGTCCTTTTTGCCTATACGAGTTGAGCCTTTAGCTTGTTTGTTCTCTAAAATCACAAGATATAAATATCCCCCAAAGCGTGCTGACATGACAGTGTTCTCATTTTTTAATTATCCCAAAGCACAGTTATCTCAGAATATTTAATGAGATCCTGTTCCTGAAAATTGAAGGTCATTCAGAACAAACTCTAAACAAGTCCATGAAGAAAACATAAGGCATCTTAGGCAAGGATATGAAAAAGGAAGAAGGCAAGAAGGCATGAAGGAAAAGAAAACATTGAGAATTGTGCCTTTACTGAGCACTACTATTTGCCAAGAAGTGAGCTACAAATTATCTCTTACTTCCTTTTATCCTCACAATGAGAAATGGGCACAGATGGCTTGCAATCAGTTATGGTTAAGATAAACTTCTATATAGACACTCCTCTACTTATGACAGTGTAATGCCCAGATAAACACAAGATAAACTCAAAGTGTCCTTCAAAACTGCATTTAATATGGCTAACCTGCTGAATATCATAGCTTAGCCTAACTTTATCTTGAAAACAAAACAAAGCAAAAAAAAAAAAAAAAAGCCAAATAACCTAACAAAATTCCTTTTATATTAAAGAGTTGACTATCTCATGTAATTTATTGAACAGATTGAAAGTGAAAAAGAGAGGTTGTATGGATACACTTTTTGCCTATCAGTAAGAAAATCCTAAATCAAACAATTATAAGCTGGAGACCATCTGTATGTTCTTTCATGGGCTTTCCAAAATATTCAAATCACTTCACATATGTAGGCTATTTGTTCTCAGAGTAATCCTGTAAGAGGCAGGCTTCTGGCGGATGCAGAAACGAAGCTCGGGGACATTAAGCAACATTAAGACCATAAACTCCAAACAGATAAAGCTGACAAGAGAACCCAGGCCTCCTGCTGTCAGTGAATTATCTTTCCCCAAGGACATCTGTTTCCTTTCACACCCAGGTCTTTTGAGGGAAGGAGTAGTTGTGCTGTTTCTGGTCAGTATGACTGTGGAGCCTCCATCACTATTTGATAAAAGGCTCACACCTCACAGGCAGATGGGAAACTTCCACAAACGCACTAACAGAAGTAGACAGGGGGTGGGGAGAACATACAACATGTTTGACTGCGCTAAGCCCAAAAGTAGCTGGGCGAGTGTCTGGTTGGTTTTCGCCAAGCCAATCAAGTGAGGCACTACCGCAACGTTAACGTAAACATTTAGAGCCCCACCCAGTGAGTGAAAGGTTCTATTTGTACAGTACTGGGCTGCAGGCGGCCACGAACCCTCCAGGCTCTGCACTGTCAGCCAAGTGTTTTCAGAGCAACATGTCTGTTCTTGGGAAAGCTACTCAAGCAGAACTACCAAAGTGAAAAATAAAAACAAAAGAAGCAAATCACTGGGCACCCTCTGTACCAAATTATGGTGCTAATAGAAAAATTAAGGACAGGACAGGAGACTGATACATTGACAACTTTTAATACAGCCCACCAAATGGTTCATATAGCACTGTCATTATAGCAATGAAATGCTAATATTTGTGTCTGCTGTATTGAACTATAATTGAGGAGTCAGTTTTTTGTTTTTTTTTTTTAACGACTCTCCAGGGCTCTTGCAGTAAGCAAGATTAGCCAGGGAATTTTCTGGGCAGCCTCTTCCGGCTGGCCCCATCACTCTAACAGAGAATTCTGATTCCATGCCATCAGCTCTGACTGCACTGCTGAAAAGCAAACCTTGTCTTCCAGTCTAGTAGTTGTCCCGTGACTCTCTGTCAAGCATTAGAGAATCTCCTTTCACATACCCTTCTGTCAAACTTAGCCCTCCGTAGGATCAGCAATTTTGCCTCTGTCCAAGACGCAGCCATCCTGGTCAGATGTCACAGTTTTACCTCAGATTTCATCCTCTTTATCTTCACCCTGCCTAGCAAGGCCCCAAATCCTCCAGGCCACCCCACTCAGCTTCTTTCATTTTCTGACCCCTCTTCTCAACAATTTTGTGATTAATTATCTTTCTAAAAGACTGTATCATAACCCATTTTTAAATGTTTTCATGACTTGTTACTGCTTATAGGATAAATCCCAAATCTTCTTGGAATCTAAGTCGTCTACTTTTCCATTCTTGTCCCTGCTACCCCGTTATTTCATTTTCCCCCCAAATGCACTGTACTCTCCTTGCCCCCCAGAAGTGTTTTCATTCTCCTGTGGTTCAAGAACAAAGCTTGTGGCACAACAGAGCTATTGGGTTATACGCACTTTATTCTACCAACACTTCATCCAGAGGTTTGAGGTTCTCTGGCTGCTAGTGACAGACCTCAACATGAACTTTATTTTAAGAACTCTACTGCCACAAAGCCAATCCTTGAGGATGGAATGGGGCCTGGGCTCAGTAGTGATCTGTCCATGGACTTGAACATTATTAATTATCTCTAATATGAATATGTCATTTTCTTCCACTACATGAATCTTGCCAATGAATCTGGGAGCAGGAAAACTGAAAGCTACGAGCCTATATCATTAAGAGAATGTATCCTAGAAGAAACAAGATCTTTACTAGCTTCAGACCAGAAAAGAATGGCCAAAGTTAGGCAATGTCCAACCTGTGAGACCAACAACAGTAGCCAAATGAGGAAAATACTTTGATCAGCTCAGCTATATCCTACTTTGTTGGATAAAAAGAAGGTACTACATACATGGCTTGCGAGGAAATCATTGAAACAGGAAGGCCATTCAGCTACAAAACTCTTAAGGTGCTATATAAGGGTTATGGATGTTTCTAAGAAACTAAAGCTCTCTAAGCCACCATGGTGCCAAGCACACGATTCAATAAATAGTGGATGGATGGATCAAACAAATCTTAACTAGTACTTTGGCAAATATTACCGTCTACTCTGTGCTGGTCACTGGGGACACAGGGACTATCTCAGATTTCCACAGCGATGTGCACGTGAAGGGATACGTTATGGAGGAGCAGAACCCACAGCACTGTGCCACCCAGAGTGGCAGCCATTTCACACCAACCTTCTTACAAAACATGGGATCATGTTCATACTTAACATTTTAATTAGACTTCACCTCTTCCCACTGTTAATATTTCCCATCTGAAAAGAAGTTAAAGCTGTTTCTTAAAAAAAAAAAAAACAAAAAACACCCCACTTTTTTAAATTAGGAAAGCAATATAAACACTGTTAGTTTTTAAAACCCTAATTCCCTATATAGACCACTGATTAAGCCAACAGCGACTCTGACAGCATTAAGAGTCAGAAGAGGGAGGTTCCGTAAGTGCATGTATATGCGTGCACGTGTGGGCACACACACCACACACTGCGTATATGGCAGTCAGAAGACGATCTCAGACGTCAGTCTTCACCTTCCACCTTGTAAGAAAGGTTCTCTTTTTGGTTGCTCGCTGCTGGACCCCAACTTTCTGCAACTCTGTCTCTCCACCCTTTTCGAAGTAGACGTGCTGGAATTACAGGCGCACATTATCATTCTCAGCTTTGCACGGGTGCTGGGGATCCGAACGCAGGTCTTCAGCCTTGTGCAGCAAGCAGGGTATCCACCGAGCATCTCTCCAGGCCATCCTGGTTGCTTCTGGAAGTCTTTCAATGTGTTTAGTGTAAGTGTATATCACACACACGCGCATGCGCACACACGCGCATGCGCACACACGCGCATGCGCACACACGCGCA